GAAGAGCGATCCAAACGTGGAGCACACTTCAGAGACCAAAGCTCTTGTTAATTACTATAGAGGCACTGGGATTTAAATAACTATGTAAACTCTGAGCCAGGATCTCAGCCCAGAAAGTAGGCGCTGAACCTGAATGACACCCGAACAAGGATGGATCCGTCCTTCTGGAGAGGACAGCAAATAAGGGCTTTTGTCGGGGAGGTCATACATATCAGCAAATGTTAAGATTGAAGATTATATGGCATGAAAAACATATCTGACACTAGGCCCACTTTAACATGCTGCTAGTCGCTGGCTGTCACTGATGAATTATTTTCAGCCCTGTGATGACTCCAGCTGTAATATCAGAGAATTGAATTTTGGGCCAAAGTAGCCAACCCCAGGGCTTCTGCCCGGGTTCACACTGATGCGGTGCCGAATTTGCAGCGTTTTCTGTGCGAGTTCCACACCGCATCACAATTACACCCCGTTCATGCGAACCGATGCGGGTGTGTATGTTAACCCCTTCACGCCGGATCGTCCGGGCATGAAGAGGAGTTCCTGCACTGGGAGGTGGGCGGGATGGGGCGTGGCTTAGTGTCATGTGGCCGCCATGACGTCACGGCAGGTCACATGATCAGGAAAGGTCCCGATCGAAAGAGCACCTCACATGTGTGCTGGGAGCACGCAGGGCGCGCGCCCAACGTGAAGGGTTTAATTAACAGCCCAAAATTGTTTCGCAAAACGCAGTGCGATGTGCAGAATCGGATCGCATGGATGTGAATACCCATGCGATCCGATTCTAGTGCGGACCAAAAAAAAGGGTCCTGCAGCTTTTTGGTGCGAGTGTGATTAGAGCCATACAAAATGTATGGCTCACTTCACACTGCACAGGATTCGCATGTGATTTGCATAGAAAAGTGGTGCGGTTTCTGTGCGAATCACATGCCATATGCCGCACTGCACAAGTGTGAACCCAGGCTGAATGTTCTGTCCACACAATATAGAGGAACTTTAAAGGGGAACGGCGGACACAGTCTCTGGTTCGGGGGTTTAGGATCCAACCACCCCTGCCAGACAGCACAGCCAGGTATGGCATCTTCAGGGTATCAGCAGCACAGCTTCATCAGGAGCTCTAATATTAAGGGCGCAATGCCGAAAATCCTGATTGGCTGCTAGTTGTTGCCCTTCCCTCTTCTTGGCCGAATCCTGCTGTATAGAGGATGCCGATAGCAAGACAGATTACAGTACTTACAGTAGTAAAATATGTCATTATTAGCGTTTTAGCTTGCGCAGGATTATCAGACTTATAAAATAAGAAATATTATGTGATAGCTGCATCACCTGCATGCTCTCAGAAATGATCACTGCTCCAAACTTTCAAAACTAAGGACCAGTTACTGTCCTTCAAACTTTAGGGGGGCCCCGGCATAAGTGGGGGAGTAAACCGTGCCATAGGCTTGTTGATCAGTGGGAGTAAAAAAGTTACATCATTGGTGTCAGTGGGAGGAATATGTCCCATCGTTGGTGTCAGTGGGAGGAATAGTGTCCCATCGTTGGTGTCAGTGGGGAGGAATAGTGTCCCATCGTTGGTGTCAGTGGGAAGAATAGTGTCCCATCGTTGGTGTCAGTGGGAGGAATAGTGTCCCGTCGTTGGTGTCAGTGGGAGGAATAGTGTCCCAATCGTTGGTGTCAGTGGGAGGAATAGTGTCCCATCGTTGGTGTCAGTGGGAGGAATAGTGTCCCATCGTTGGTGTCAGTGGGAGGAATAGTGTCCCATCGTTGGTGTCAGTGGGAGGAATAGTGTCCCATCGTTGGTGTCAGTGGGAAGAATAGTGTCCCCTCGTTGGTGTCAGTGGGAGGAATAGTGTCCCGTCGTTGGTGTCAGTGGGAGGAATAGTGTCCCAATCGTTGGTGTCAGTGGGAGAAATAGTGTCCCAATCGTTGGTGTCAGTGGGAGGGATAGTGTCCCGTCGTTGGTGTCAGTGGGAGGAATAGTGTCCCGTCATTGGTGTCAGTGGGATGAATAATGCCCCATCGTTAGTATCAGTGGGAGGGATAGTGTCCCAATCGTTGGTGTCAGTGGGAGGGATAGTGTCCCGTCGTTGGTGTCAGTGGGAGGAATAGTGTCCCATCGTTGGTGTCAGTGGGAGGAATAGTGTCCCATCGTTGGTGTCAGTGGGAGGAATAGTGTCCCGTCGTTGGTGTCAGTGGGAGGAATAGTGTCCCGTCGTTGGTGTCAGTGGGAGGAATAGTGTCCCGTCGTTGGTGTCAGTGGGAGGAATAGTGTCCCGTCGTTGGTGTCAGTGGGAGGAATAGTGTCCCGTCGTTGGTGTCAGTGGGAGGAATAGTGTCCCATCCTTGGTGTCAGTGGGAGGAATAGTGTCTGCATAGCAGAGCCATACAAAGCAGCGTGCTTACAGTGAAGCACACACACAACCCCCATAGTAAAACAGCACACAGTTAACCCTTTGATCGCCCCAGATGTTAACCCCTTTCTGCCCAGTTCCATTAGTACAGTGTCAGTGCTTTTTATTAGCACTGATTACCGTATTGGTGTCACTGGGGATGTCAGTGACACCAAGTCAGTTCCCCCCAGTGTCAGAATGCCTGCTGCAGTTCCGCAGTCCCACTATAAGGTGCTGATCGCCACCATTACTAGTATAAAAAAAATCCATTATATATACCGCCATTTTTAAACGCTATGACTTTCAGTAAACCAATTAATTTACACATATTGGGATTTTTTTTTTTTTTTAGCAAAGACATGCAACAGAATACATTTTGGCATAAATTTATGATGAAATTAGATTTTTTTAAATTTTCTTGCTAGATATATTTTATAGCAAAAAGTCAAAATTATTGGCTTTTTCTCAAAATTATTGGTCTTTTTTTGTTTATAGCACAAAACAAAAAAAACGAACAGATGATCAAATACCACCGAAATAAATAGATTTGTGGGGAAAAAAGGACGTAAATTTCATTTGGGTGCAGCGTTGCATGACCGCGCAATTGTCAGTTAAAGTAACGCAGTGCTGTATCGCAAAAAATGGCCGGGTCAGGAAGGGGGGGGGGGGGAATCCTCTGGAGGGCAAGTGGTTAAAAAAAAAAAAACCCACACACTTATGGTGTGTTTTTTTGCCACGTTTTCCTCTCATTTCAATGGGCAGCTACGTTTTTGGTGCAGCTGCAGCTCGCGGTGCAATGGTGTGAAGAGTCCCCTAGGATTTAAAGAGACTTACATTTATTTATTTCAGGTACCGTACTTATATGGCGTTGTTCATTTACGCAGCGCTTTACATATATATAGTACATTCACATCAGTCCCTAACCCTCAAGGGGTGTACAATCTAAGGTCCCTAACTTACATTCATACATACACATACTAGGGACAATTTAGACAGGAGCCAATTAACCTTCCAGCATGTCTTTTTGGAGTGTGGGAGGAAACTGGAGTACCCGGAGGTAACCCACGCAGGCACAGGGAGAACATGCAAACTCCAGGCAGGTGGTGTCATGGCTGGGATTCGAACCAACAACCCGAGTACCACCAGGCAGAAGTGCTAACCATTTAGCCACTGTTCTGCCCACATTTAAAGGGATTGTGTTTTTAACCATTAGCCGCCCGGCCTATAGCCGTTTGGCGGCCGCAAAAATGCTCTAGCTTTCCGGGGTGCACACCATTTGGCGTCCTCCCGCACATGCGCAGTTCGCGTGGTTGCAGAGCCGCACAGCGGCGCGATCTGCAACTGGCCATGTACCTCAGACACGGCCGATGACAGATCTGAGTACCGGCCCCCGTTGCCGGTACCATGTGACCTGCTGTGACCAATCACAGCAGGTCACATGACAGTTGTATACAATGGATGGCTTCATTCATGCCATCCATTGTATACTAGTGTCTAGCTGTGAATGGTCACAGCAGATCACATGCACATGTCATGTGATTAGCTGTGGCCAAATCACAGCTAAGCACAAAAAAAAAAAAAAAAAAAAAACCCTGAATGAATCAATGTCATTCAGGTAAATGCTTGCTTATAGCAAAGTAATTCTTTGCTATAAGCAAATTGTGTTAAAAAAAAAAAAAATACTGATCACTTCCCCAAAGTAGTACAATGTTACGTGAAAAATGGCCTGGGCAGGAAGGTGTAAAATTGCCCGGTATTGAAATGGTTAACAAGGTAAATTTGCAGCAAAAACGCATCAATGTGAAAGCAGCCTCAGGATGCCCAATGTGTGTTTTTCTGTATGTCTCATGGTGGCGTACTTTGTTTTGTGGCATTATTTCAGAAAGTTGTTGCTACTATCAGGTCATATGACAGGTCCACTTTATTATTATTAATAAACAGGATTTATATAGCGCCAAGAGTCTGCTTTATCTTGCGCTTACATGCATGCACCCATTGTAAGTGCGGCAAGTGTCATCCGCGGACCCAGCTGTCACAATTATTTACTTTGTACAGTATATATATACGTTCAGATCATAATGTACCATTGTTCATCGCTAATCCTAGCTGCTTCTCTTTCGTTTACTTGGTGACTATAGTTGTATTGGAAGTGACATTCTTGTGACATTGGTATTGTGACACATAAATGTGCTACGACACACTGCATTACGATCTGTGAACAATATGATTACCCGAGTACAGAACCCATCAATCATTTCTATCATGCTTACGGCAGCTGTACAGAGGTTTTGCATATGGAATATACTGTGTACAGTACATAGAGGTTTGCTTGTGCACTTTGTTGGGTTGTAAGACCACCCTACTGCTAAACGTGTGTAATATTTAATATGGGCACTTTTCAGGGTCACATCCCACCAGGGATGCAGTCTGCATGGAGTCTGTACTCTCCTATACAGTACATTCAGGTGCAGGGGCGGACTGATTATTCGAGCACTCAGGCACTGCCCGAGGGCCCGGAGTCAATAGGGGGCCCCATGAAATGCCCCTGGTACCTTTTTATAGGCTTTTTTCGGTGTGCTTTGAGTGTGGGCAAGGACACAGGGGCCCCATGATCAGGAGCGGACTGACCATTTGGAAACTCGGGCACTGCCCGAGGGCCCGGGGTCAGTAGGGGGCCCCATGAGATGCCCCTGATACCTTTTCCATAGGCTTTTTTGAGTTTGGGCAAGGACACAGGGGCCCCATGATCCCCCTATTGCCCGGGGGCCCCATGAGTTGTCAGTCCGCCCCTGCCCATGATCACCTATTGCCCGGGGGCCCCATTCAGGTGGGTTGCTTCTGAGTATTTATTATTATTATACAGGATTTTTTCGGTGTGCTTTGCGTGTGAGCAAGGACACGGGGGCCCCATGATCAGGGGCAGACTGACCATTTGGAAACTCCAGCACTGCCCGAGGGCCTGGGGTCAATAGGGGGCCCCATGAGATGCCCCTGGTACCTTTCATAGGCTTTTTTGAGTTTGGGCAAGGACACAGGGGCCCTATGATCCCCTATTGCCCGGGGCCCCATGAGTTCTAAGTCCGCCCCTGCCCATGATCCCCTATTGCCTGGGGGCCCCATAAGTTGTCAGTCCGCCCCTGTTCAGGTGGGTTGCCTCTGAGTATTTATTATTATACAGGATTTTTTCCGTGTGCTTTGAGTGTGAGCAAGGACACAGGGGCCCCATGATCAGGGGCAGACTGACCATTTGGAAACTCGGGCACTGCCTGAGGGCCCGGGGTCGGTAGAGGGCCCCATGAGATGCCCTTGGTACCTTTTTCATAGGCTTTTTTGAGTTTGGGCAAGGACACAGGGGCCCCATGATCCCCTATTGCCTGGGGGGCCCCATAAGTTGTCAGTTCGCCCCTGTTCAGATGGGTTGCCTCTGAGTATTTATTATTGTTGTTATACAGGATTTATAATGCACCAACAGTTTGCGCAGCGCTTTACAAATGAAGGTAGACATTACAGTTACAACACAATTTGGTACAAGAGGAAACAGAGGGCCCTGCCCATTAGAGCTTACAATCTAGGAGTACCTCCCTTTTCTTTCGAGACCCAAAAACATATTGATAGAATAACTGGCTTCCACCTAAAATTCCAAACGGCTGGGTTTCTGCAAGAGCCATCACCTTAATGCTGGAAATGGGCAAGTGTGAACCAGACAAGACAACCTGTCATATGGGAAGCATGGTAGCTGCCATAGCTGAGAGTGATGACAACCCAAATTTTAGACCCCATGTACACGGGACACTTATGAACGATGGAAACTTCTGGAAAACGTAGGTTAAAAAAGTCTGTTAACCATGTTTGCATACCGCATTTAGAAGCATTTTTTAAATATAACCTCAGGAGACCTTCCAAAATGCCCAGAATGCACTGAAAAACAGTAAAAAATTAACTATTTCAGACAGTTTGAGAGATATAGAGAGAGCAGAAGCAGAGAGAGCAGTATTTGTTGAGATTAACTGTCTTTTTTTTTGTGGTGTCTGGATGTGTTCCAGCTCATTTCTGTGCAGAAATTATTGCAGCAGTGTCTAACGTATTTTCTTTCATGTGAAACCTCAAAGTATGGTGTGCTAGGTCCATTTGAGCACTGGGAAAATGCTTTGCATGCATTTTTCATGATGGAAAAAGGCTCTGGACAGCATCTGGAAATGGAGTTAAAAAAAAAAAACACAAACGCTTATCAATGCGGTTAGCTGCGTTTACACGTGTTTAGCGTTTGAAACGCTGATAAAATCTGCTGAACGCATGTTTTCTGCGTTCTAAAAAACGACTGTAAACTCAACTGCCTATAAACGCCTGTAAACGACGATGTGTACATGGACACATAGGAAAACACTAGGGAGAGTTCAGGGGCTGCTGAAAAAAACGCTGAACAGCTCTTAAACGTGAATTTATCAGCTGCAGTGTACATGAGTTGTCACCAAAACAAGAGGTGAAGGTGAATTTTCTAATGGGGACACCTATTCTGGGTATACCTGTCTAAGAGGGAAGTTTCCCTAAGGCCTCTTGCACACTGCAGCTTAAAAAAACTCAGTACAGCGTTTTTTTTACGGAGTTAAAATGCAGCTCATTGTTTACAATGTGCCTGTACACACAGGTACCTAAACAAGTGCTGCAAAAAATCTACATTCCCTGTTAGTATTTTGCACTGGTACGCACAAATACGCACATATGAGCATACTTATTTTGAACATTTATAGATTTTGCTTATGAAATGTATTGTGTGCAAATACGCACAACAAAATGACAGACACTGAAATTAAAGCGGGCTCCAGTCAAAATGTAAAAAAATTAAAGTCAGAAGATACAAAAACTGTAGCTGCTGAATTAAAGAAAAAAAACAGACATTCCCCTGTCCCTCGATCCAGCAGTTTCCTCACCACAGCTGGTTTTACCGGCCGTCTTCTCTCCCTGGTGCCGGCATCTTAAGTGTGGGCACCCGGCCGTGACAGCTTGCGGCTTCACAACTGGGTGCCCACTGCACATGCTCAAGTAGCGCTGTGCCTTGTGAATGGTCCTATAATCTTCTGGGACCAGTTACGTGTCCCAGAAGACTACGGGGCGGGGGTGGGTTCAACTCCAGGTACCCACACCCCCTCAGAAGTGCCAATCCTTAACGGGAAGTGGGGGACGAGACCTTAAAGTGGAACTTCCCCTTTTGGGTGGAGCTCCACTTTAAGTCCGGAAATACTGACGCTCAAACATCAGTACCATATGCAAGAGGCCAACTTTCTAGAGATTTCCTCTCACTTTCTGCTATGTCTGTCCAGTTTGGGAGTTTCTCCTTCATTTTCTGTGTCAGACAGTAAAATAAAAACAAAAAAATAGACTGACAGGGGCTTTAATCCCTTCATACTGAAAGGCTTAGTTTACCTTTCTGACCATGTTTCATGATACAGCCATATTAATATGAAACATTTTCACATTTTCCTCCCCCCCTTCAAACCACTTCTCCATACTTGAATTGCAGGGAGCTTCTCTCCTGTTGATTTTTAAACTTTGGGTGTTTGTGCGTGGCTCCACCCGTACACCATCTTCATCCATTCACAGGGGATCTTTGAATGGAAAGACTGCAAGTCCCATCTATCGCCGCAGCAAAGGGACTTGTAGATCTCAATGAAGCACAATTATGTGATGTTACTGCATTGGTTTTCTTCCTCCAGTCCCATGCTGTATTCTTTTCAACAAATACAAGGCGTTCTGTGAATAGACAAGGGGAGCAGATGGAGTGGTTAAACTATAGGATGATTTCCCTGTATGTTTGCCGGAGACTACAGCTATCACTGTACTTTCAGCACTGCGGCTCTCAGAGATGTATGAATTGTTGTAAATAGCATGGTCTTACATAGAGAACGCACCTGACTATAGGTAACCTTTTTTGTACAATTAAAGTAAAACTAAAAGAAAAACATTTTTTTTTTTTCGAGTTTTGGATAGAGTGGAGAGGGATTAGAACACACATCAAGTTGTTTCTGAGCCCCCATTTGCAAGATTCATTCTCTCTATTTCTCCTGTTTACCATTACAGGGATGTGGACATTTAAAAAAAAAAAAATACTTGTCCGAGGGATTAAATCAGAGTCCCAATCTACTTGTCTCTCATGACAATCTACTTGTTCTGATAAAAAATAAATAAATAAATAAATAAATTTGCCAGGTTGTAAAACATGAAGGGCTGATGTTTTTTATTAGGCAGAGGTGCTTTTAGAAATGTATGGGGCTTTTAAATACCAAAAGGGGCTTTATTTTTTTTTTTTTTTCCTTTTTTTGTTAGAAAATTTCATAGAACCCCCAAACATTATATATATTTTTTTAAAAGCAGAAGCCTTAGAGAATAAATTAGTGGGTGTTACGATTTGTTATGTGACATGGTATTTGCGCAGCGATTTTTCAAACAGTTTTTTTTTTTTTTTTTTTTTAAATACACTTTAATTTGGGTTATGTATTTTTTTTTTTGCATTCAATTTTAGTAAAATATTAAAGATATCAAATATTAAATGATGTTACCCCAAGTAAATAGATATCAAACATGTCACGCTTTAAAATTGTGCACGCCTGTTTTACTATCCATACATGACGTTTTAAAAGCCTTTACGGGTTATCACTTCAGATTTACACAGAGGGTCTGGTGCTAGAATTACTGCCCATTATATGACATTCGCAGTGATACCTCATATGCCTGAGAAAATCGCTGTTTGTGACCGTCGGGACCAACACGTATGTTCCCCTTTGTGCGCAAGCACAGGGGGGCAAGGTTTTTATTTTTTCCTGTGTTGCTTTAATTTTTTTTCACTTTTATTGTTGTCATAAGGAATGAAAACATCCCTTGTGACAGAATAGACAGTGACAGGTACTGTTTATGATGAGACCTTGGGTAAATAAGATCCTAGATCCCCCCTCTGCCATTAAAAGCATTTGATCACACCAAGATCGGTATGATCAAATGCTTTCCATTTTTAAAAATGGCGCCATTTACATTCAAGGAAATCGGAAGTGATATATGCTTGCTTCCTGTTTCCTATATCACAGAGGTGGACAGAGCAGGTCCAGTCTTTGTTCGCCTCTATGATCAGCAAACGGAAGCCAATGTCCCAGCCCACCGAAGGCGGTTGGAATTCGTCCCCCCCTGCTGCTTGTAAAGCAAGCCAGCGGCTAGTTTGCCGATCTGATTACTTTTACAACAAAGATGACTGTTGGTTCTAAATTTTGCTGCCTGCCCGCAGCAAGGCTGACTGTAAAAAAAAAAAAAAAAAAAAGCTGCCCGGTGTCCAAAACTGCTTGTCCCAGACGTTAGGTGATAGGAATTGCACATCCCAGCATAGTGAAAGAAAATCCCAAATCCCAGAACAGTACTAGAGGGGATATCTTCCAGTGGGGACACTTGTTCTGGAGACAGTTGGGGATTCCTATCTCTTCCTGTCTTGATTACGGAAAGAAAAATATCCCCAATGGGACACAGATGGCAAAGAAAAACCTGACAGGGGTTATAACCCAACCTTTTGCCTTTGGATCTACTGTGCCTAGATTTCCACTGTAGCCCCTTCTCAGTTTGTGTCATTTTATTTCTGTTTTTTTCTGGTGAAGTTCCCTTTCCTTGATATGTGGACACTTTAGAAAGCGCCTAAAAGTAGGATGCTAAAAATGGAGTATTTCTGAACCGGATTGCTGAAACTGGCAAACATGACAGAAGTCTTCAGGAGATATTTTTAGAGAGCGCTGTCAAAAAATAGACTCCAGAGAAGAAGCAACAAGTTTTTCGAGAGGCTCCGAGTGGCTGCCAGTGACATGTAGAAGGTTTCAGGGAGGGACGTGTGTTGATGAAGAAGACGGATTTCTAGCTGACAGCTCTGTGATTAGACTTGTTCCTGCATATTGAGCAAAGATGTCCTGAAATAGTAACTCTACGCACTACATCACCATTCCTCGTCTTTCAAAAACAGTCCACCTAAAATGAAATGGACGTTTTGAGGGAATGCCAAGTCATGGAACACCTTAGGTGTCTCGGGACTCCTCGCAGGGTTGGTCTAATCAGGAAAACCTCAGCCCCTGTGATTCATTAGATTCTTCCCTTCCTTTGCTTCAGGTGTCAATAGCAATA